AGCGGCTGTGCGTGGAGTCGTGAGGCGCGGCCGGGGGCGGGAGGCCGAGGCTGGCCGGCACTTGGGCCGCCCGCCCTGAGCCGCTGCTCGGGCCGGGTAGCAGGGCGTTTGGCTTCTGCTCGGGCGGGCTGTCCTGTCCTGGCGGCTCTGTGGTAATCTAGGCGGAGTTCTGCCGGCCCCAGGCCTCTCACTGAAAGCGCTGCCCACGTAGCCGGAGCACTGAGAGAGTGATTTCTGGTGACTGGTTTGTTGTTGTTGTGTCTGGAACCTCCGCTCTCAGGGGGAGCTTTCACTTTCGAGACTCTTCAGTCTGGGACTAGCGGTGAAATAGCACGAAAGGGCGACTTAAGTGCCAAAACAGAGGAGCAGTTATATTGTATTATAAGTGGCTTGCTCTTGATCCATGTCACAGGCTTCCTGGTTTGCTCATTGTGCGTGTATACACTTGTTCTTGCTAAATGTGAATTAGAACTCAGTGTGCAAATGTGTAAATACAGCCAATACTCTGATAAAGCTCTCTTGAGTATCAGGATGCACTAAACAGTACGTGCTTCTGATGCAGAAGAAATTAAAACACGAAAAAGCAAATTGAGTACAGATAGTTCTAGAGATAAGCAACAAACGCTTGGTAAAGAGTGAAAAGGATATGAGAAGCATGTACAGAGGCTCTTGCATCCATTACAAAGATGTAGGGTGTTGCAGCTGGTAAAAGGAACTTGACTACCTGAGGTTATGAAGTCAAAGCTGACCAGATGTAAATTGTTGTATATGCTGAATACTTTTTCCTTCTTGTGCTTTCTCTTGCTCCATGTCAACTGTTCCAAAAGAATAGAGACAGAGGCAACCACTGGAAGAGCACACAGTTAGAATAACCATCAAGTTTCTGTATTTAATTTTTTGTAAACTACTGTAGCTTGAAACTTAGTATTTGTGTTCGTACTGGAAAACAAGAATACCCCTGAGCCCAAACTCTTGAATGTTTGAGCCCTGTGAATCGTTGTAGGAGTTGTCATATGCCTTATTGTAAACTATACTATTGGCAAGCCACTGCCGTCTTCTAGTATGTCAAGCAATTCATTGGCAAGGTGTTGGGACACCACATGACTTACACCTATTGTCAGCTGTTAAAACTTCACTCCTCCCATAGGAAACTGCCCCGTATTTATTCCAAGGATTCAAGTGCCCTGTTTTCAGGAATGTCAGATAACTTGTGTAGTCTAAGCATATCCACTTAAAACCAAAACCACAACTTATCAAAAGCTAAACAGAATAATGATGACTTTCTTTACTGCAGGTCAGCCAGTATTCCTGGAAGCTCAAATGTGGCTGCTGGCAGTAATCGTCGTCTTCAGCAGACTCAACACCAAGTAGATGAGGTAAAAGTCTAGTCTGATAGCAGTGTAATCATTTTCCTTCAGGAAACCTGTATAACTAGAAGGGATATTTTGGCCAAAGCAGTTTCCCCTTCATTATATGAAGGGGAAGCCTAGTATCATTCAGCTTGCTTTATTATACTTGTGTCATCTTAACTCTTGCAAAGGTTAAAAAAAAAAAAAATTCCATTCAGCTGGAGTAGGGAAGTAGAGAGAGGTTACCAGTGTCCAAACATTAGCTGCAAAGTTGGTGCTTGAGGATTTGGCATAAGTAAAGATAAAAACCTTTGTTCTTACAGAGAACAAGCTTTTCTCTCATCAGTAGCAATGAAGGCTGACCACCGAATATAATATGTCCAGATTTATGGGGAGTCCAAAAGCCAGGCTGGTTACCAACAGTATTTTTTGACACACGGTTGACTATGATGTTTATATGCCTCAAATCCTTCTGAAGCGAGTCAGAAATTATTTCCCAGGTTTAAGGGAATGCCAGCACAACTGGCACTGCTGACATTTTAAAGTAGGTATTAGGGGCTTCCAGCCACAGGTGAATTTCACTGTTCTGTTGAAGCTTATGACTGGATATACTAAAAGGCAATAGCTCCTATTTCTGAGAGGAGAACATTAAGAGTACCATGTGTTGCTATCTGTTGCCTGCAATTAAGTTCCACAGCGGGTGATACAACTGGTAACTTACTGTAAGCATTAAACTGATGTAGGTTGTTGACATCATGAGAGTGAATGTGGACAAGGTATTGGAGCGAGATCAGAAGCTGTCAGAGTTGGATGACCGTGCTGATGCACTGCAAGCAGGAGCTTCCCAGTTTGAGACCAGTGCAGCCAAGCTGAAAAGAAAGTATTGGTGGAAGAACTGTAAGGTAACCATGGCTTGTATACTTACACTATGCAGTATTGCAGTTAACACTATTACGATTGGCATTTCAAAAGGCAGAAGTAAAAGTGGCTTTAGCCAATGTTATTTAAGTTTGTTGTGGTTTAACCCCAGCCAGCAACTAAACACCATGCAGCTGCTTGCTCACTCCCCTCCCCTTCCCCCCCCCCTCGGTGGGATGGGGGAGAGAATCAGAAGAGTAAAAGTGAGAAAACTCATTGGTTGAGATAAAGATGGTTTAATAGGCAAAGCAAAAGCCGCGCACGCAAGCAAAGCAAAACAAGGAATTCATTCACTCCTTCCCATCGGCAGGCAGGTGTTCAGCCATCCCCAGGAAAGCAGAGCTCCATCATGTGTAACAGTTACTTGGGAAGACAAACGCCATCGCTCTGAACGTCCCCCCCTTCCTTCTTCCCCCAGCTTTATATGCTGAGCATGACGACATATGGTGTGGAATATCCCTTTGGTCAGTTGGGGTCAGCTGTCCCGGCTGTGTCCCCTCCCAACTTCTTGTGCACCCCTAGCCTGCTCGCTGGTGGGGTGGGGTGAGAAGCAGAAAAGGCCTTGACTCTGTGTCAGCACTGCTCAGCAGTAACCAAAACATCCCTGTGTTATCAGCACTGTTTCCAGCACAAATCCAAAACATAGCCCCATACTAGCCACTAGGAAGAAAATTACTTCTACCCCAGCCAAAACCAGCACAAATTTATAGCGTCTATTTTAAAAACATGGCATAGTAGTTAGGTGAAGTAACCAAAAGCTGGATTACTAGCCATGCTGCTTGATGCAAGACCTTGTCGAAGACAGTAATGGCCAGAGGGAAACACCTCAGTAATCTGAGGCTTTGGGGAACAGGAAGCAAAAGGCCAAAAATGCATAGGTTGAGTTAGTGTGTGGGAAGTATTAGAAAGCAGAAGGAGCTCGCTCAGACTCCTGTGCCTGTAGCTGTTGGCAAAGGTTGGAATCTTCTTCGGTGAGCAACAGAGACAGTGAAAGGTGTGGTATAGGGTAAGAGTAGAAATGATGTTTAATAGTTCTTTACTCCTGCTTGTATCATCACCTGAGGCAGGCTTTGCATGGAGGCACAATGGAAAAGAACCTCTTGCTCTGCTTTGCTTGTGTGCACAGCTTACCGTCTCTGAGTGGTAATGGTGAATCAAGCTTGCTTACTGAAGAAGTTGTACTTGCTGTGTTAGATCTAGCACATGGTGCAAAAGTATCTTGCAGGGGCTGCTTTCCTGTACCCTAAAGGCCAGTTAATGCTGCTGCATGGTTTGTAGTAAGTGATGTATGGCTTTTTTCACAGATGTGGGCAATATTGATAGCTGTGGTTATCATTATCATCATCATCATTATTGGTAAGTTTCACCAAAACAGGGGTTTCTTGTAGAGTTGGAATAGATGGTGTTAATTCACCATCTGGTACAGTTTAAATAAAGCCAGGATACTCAAAGTATATACAGCATTAATCTGAAATAGCAGTGACTGCTTTAACAAATGCTGCAGTAACCATTGGCAACAGATAGTCAGTCCTGGGTGAGAAATATCAGTGTGCAAGCACAAAGGAAAACTAAAACTAGGAAAACCAACATGGGGAAACTCTTAAATCCCTCTTTGCCCATCTCTAGTATCTCAATCTTAAAATGCAGGATTGTTATGGCGAGGGGCTGTAGGAGACTGTCCTTTGTCCAACTTTTTTCTTCTTTTTGTAGTCTGGAATATGCCTTCATGAGTTACAGGAAGAAACTCAAATCAACTGAAGGTGCCCATCTTCAGCCTCTCCACTTCAAACCTGCTGTATTTTCAGCCTATTTACTGCTCTTTAAAGCAAAACTGTTTTGATTACTGAAATGTTAGCTAACTGTACCTGGTTGCCTTAAGACACTCCTGTCATAAATTACTAACAAGCACAGCCCACCGCTTCCACAGTGCCTTGATAAGCTGGGGCACAGAGCTGGCGAGGATTTGGCTCTAGAGTTTCCCCTGTCGATACTGTAAGGGGTCACAGGCTTTGTAGGCGGTTTCGGGCCTTACCCTC